GTTGGAGTCCCTGCATGAGGAGGACATACCATGGTGTTTGGTGGGTGATTTCAATGTCACCAGGTTCAGTTCAGAACATTCTAATGGTAGAACCCCAACCAGAAGCATGAGAAATTTCTCTAATTTTATTGACAGACACAATCTATGTGATCTCCCTCTTACCAATGGACTTTTTACCTGGTTAAACATGCAGGAAAATGCCATAAGCTGCAGACTTGACAGATTTTTATTATCTCAGGATTGGTTGGAGAGATTTCCAAATCTGTGTCAAGAACTTCGTCCAAGTTGTACCTCAGACCACTGGCCCATATTGCTGAACACCGAAAGAATAATTAAAAGAAAAACCCCATTCAGATTGGAAAAATTCTGGCTACAACACAAAGATTTCAGTAAAAAGGTTGCAACATGGTGAGAAGACCGCAAAGTAGAGGGTTGGGCTGGATTCAGACTTCTTCAGAAACTAAAAGCTTTGAAGTAAAATCTTAAAGCTTGGGGAAGAGAAGAATTTAAAGCTGTTGAAGAAGAGAAAAAAAGAATACTTTCGGAATTAGAGGACTTGGACAATAGAGAGCAAAATGGGACCCTCAATGCCTTAAACAGAAATAAAAGAGCAGAATTAAGAAAGGAWYGGGARMAACTAGTTRGAAGGGAAGAGATCTATTGGAGACAAAGATCAAGAGTGAGATGGTTGAAAGAAGGGGACAATAATTCCATATTTTTTCACACCTATGCCTTGGGAAGAAGTAGGAAGAATTTTATTTCTAAGCTCAATCTTAATCAGAGAGAAGTGGAGAATCCTGAGGAAATTTCTGAAGCTTTCCTTTMTTTCTTTAAAAACCTTWACTCCAAGGATAGTGAAAATCAATTCACAATATTTAATTGGGATGGCACTACCCTTTCAGCTGAAAAGAGGGATTGGTTGGAAATAAGTTTTGAAGAGGGAAGAAGTCAAGAAGACTATTTTCAGCATGGACGGTGATAGGGCTCCAGGGCTGGATGGCTTCCCTATCCTTTTCTTCCAAAAATGTTGGGAAATTGTAGAGTCAGATCTCGTGGAGTTTTTCAGGGACTTCAATTCATCCGCCATTGTTAACAAGGGCCTTAACTCTACCTTTCTCTGCCTCATCCCTAAGAAAGGGGGAGTTTTGGAAGTTAAAGACTTTAGACCCATAAGTTTGGTTGGGAGCAAATACAAAATTTTGGCGAAGGTTCTGGCCAACAGACTTAATGAAGTCCTTGAAGATCTAATTTCCCCAAATCAATTAGCTTTTGTTAAAGGAAGACAAATTGTGGACGGCATTCTTATTGCAAATGAGTGTGTAGAAGACAGAAAATCCTCTGGGATCCCGGGGGTCCTTGTGAAACTTGATCTTGAGAAGGCGTACGACAAAGTGGATTAGGACTGCATTCTTGATTGCTTAAGGCTAGGAGGTTTTGGGAGAAACTGGATCAGGTGGATTAAAGGTTGTATTGGCTCTCCATGGTTTTCAGTATTGATAAATGGTGAAGCGAAAGGTTATTTCAAGGCAAGCAGGGGTCTAAGACAAGGTTGCCCTCTTTCCCCTTTACTTTCCATTTTGGTGATGGATATATTTAATTATCTCTTTGACAAGTCAATTCTTTTCAACTTGGTGAAAGGCTTTGAAGTGGGTAGGGATAAACTTCACATCTCTCACTTACAGTTTGCCGACGACATAATCCTATTCTTAGATGCCTCTATAACCAACATCACAAACACTAAAATGGTAATTGAATGTTTCGAGATTCTCACTGGTATGGGAGTTAATTTCTGCAAACGTAGTATTGTGGCTATCAACTCAGTGGAAGTGGATCTTCTAGAAAATTTCAAATCTTTATTGGAGTGCAAAGTGGAGAATATCCCCATTACCTACCTTGGGATGCCTCTTGGAGGGAATCCAAAATCCCTCAACTTTTGGAGTCCTGTGTTGGAGAAGTGCGAGAAGAAACTATCGACTTGGAAAAAGTGTTATCTCTCCAAAGGGGGTAGGCTGACTCTCTTAAAGGCCTCCTTATCAAATCTGCCGGTCTGCTTTCTCTCAGTCTTCTAGATTCCGACCAAAGTTAGAAATCAGATTGAGAAGCTTCAAAGGAATTTTCTTTGGGAAGGTGGTGGAGATAAGAGAAACCATTTAGTCAGCTGGAAACAAGTATGCAGACCAAAAGAGGAAGGCGGTTTGGGTATTGGATAACTTAAAGAGAAAAATTCCTCTCTTCTAGGGAAATGGCTCTGGAGATTTCCGAAAGAACCTAATGCTCTTTGGGCTGCTGTCATCTCAAGTAAATATGGGCGAAATACAAACGGGTGGGATTGCAATCTCCATTTGAACGGGATAAAGGCCATCAATCCTTGGAAAGGTATATGTTCCATTCATACTTCTTTCTTTCCTTTTATAAGGTATAAAGTGGGAAATGGTTCTAAAATTAAATTCTGGAAAGATCTTTGGTGGGGGGAATCTACCCTGGATGCCTCTTTCCCTAGGCTGTTTAACCTCACCCTTGTCCAAGAAGCCTCTATTTTTGATTGCCTCCCAAACCAGTCCGCTGAGAAGTCTTTAAACCTCCACCTTAGAAGACCCCTAAGGGACTCGGAAATTTCTGATTTAATAGCTTTAATCCAAACCCTCAAAGATGCCTATATATCCCCCTCTCATTCTGACACCCGAATATGGACCCTTCACCCAAATGGCGAATTCTCTTCGAAGTCTATGTTCAGGGCTTTGATTGCTGAAGATCAGCATCCCTCT